CTCAGAGTGCTTTCCTCCAAGTATCCGTCATGCACAGGGCTTTGTGGGGCTTGAGGGAGCGTGGACTCAGCAGACCTGGGTCCAGCCATGGAGGTGCCACTATCTGGCTGAATGCACTTGTCCTATAACCTTGCCTCTCAGTTTTTTCCTGCTGCACTGATGTATGTGTGTGTGTGTGTGTGTGTGTGTGTACAGTCATGGGCCAATCAGAAGGGATTCTCATCCTGTCCAAGGTCCAGGGTCCTCCCTCACGGCCATCGAGCCCAGTCCGACTCACCACAGCCCTGCCGGACAGAGTACAAGGGCCCTGGTGGGTTTCCGAGACTGTACATCCTTACAGGAGCAGAGGCTGCATCCTTCTCCCACAGCAGGGTCCTGGAGGCCCCACTGTGTGTGATTGATCCTAACACTGCACTTGCCTTTAAGTTTGCGGGGCAGGGGTGGGGTGGGGTGGGGTGAGTGGAGGGGGTGCTGCCTGGGGAAGGCAGAAGATGCCCTAGCACAGCGGCTATTTACAAGCTACCGTGGAGGTAGGTGTTTGGGGAGCCCTCGTGGAGTGGCTGGTTATCCGTCAGGCTGCTAACTGAGGGGCAGCATGTCAAACCCATCGACCACTCCTTGCTTGGGAAAAGCATGAGGCTTTCTCCTGCCTTATAAAGACGTACAGCCTCGGAAGCCCAAACGGCCGGTTCTACTGGGTTTTATGGAGTCAAAATTGACGCAATGGCAGTGAGTTTGGTTTTAGGTTATGGATGTATTTTCACTTTTCTAACTGGCTGGTGGCAGGGGGTTTAAGACAAGGCCGCAGCCAGCCGCTTCCCTGCTCTCCTTCCCTCGGGATCCGTGGCTCTGGGAGCCCTGCCCTCCATGCCAGGCTGGGCCCCGGCAGGTGGAAGTCTGACTGACTGCGGGTCTTCAGGAAGACCTGTCACCGTACCTGGAGATGCTGTGTTCCACTTGGGCCTCCTCAAAGCGCTCAGGTTCCTCGGGGACCCAGAAATCCCCAGAATCCTGGTGGTCGAGGGGGTCTGTGGGAGACAGAGCATCTGTGAGCATACAGGCCCTCCTCCTGGAGGCAGCCTGTAGAGCAGGCTGGGAGACCCTGCGGTGGGGTAGGCTCCCGGGCTCTGGTCCCGTGTGGGTAAAGCCATTTCACTTCTCGGAGCCTCAGTCTCAGAGCCTGTAAAATGGACTGATGAGGAACCATGCCTCCTGAAGAACAGTGGTGCCAAGACTCGGAGAGAGAAGCTCCGGATAGCTCCCAGCCCCTCCTAGGGCTGAAACTGATTGGAGAGGCTGGCTTCCATGAGGAAAACCTCCTGCGGCGGGAAGAAAGTGCCCTTCCTGCAAGCGTGCAGCAGCCCCGGGGACCTCTCCGCTGCCAGGAGTCTTGGGGTACGGATGGGTATGTGGCTGACTACTTGCTGGAAGGTGGGCGGTGTGAGCCCACCCCAAAGCACCATGGAAGACAGTCTGGCATCTGCTTCCTTTCCAGGTGAAACCCTTGAATGCCAAAGGGACCGCTTCTGCTTGGCCACATGACAGGCCCCCATCAACTCCACAGCAGTTGGCTTTGTGTGTGTTGTAAGCAACCTGCACAGTCATCCACATTGGCCCTAAGAGGGGGTGGGGGGTGTTCAAGGACTGCCTTGTGGGTTTCCCAACTCTCAAAACCAAACTCACTGCCATGGAGTTGATTCTGACTCGTCCCCACCCCACAGGGCAGGGCAGAACGCCCCCTTAGACTGCAACCCTTTCTGGGAGTAGAAAGTCTCGTCTTTCTCCTGTGGCATGGCTTGTGTTTTGAACTGCTGACCTGGCAGTGAGCAGCCCACTGCATCCCCTCAGAAAGCCCAGTGGGTGGTTCTGCACTCAGAAGCTGGCCCATCGGTGGCCCAGAGGTGTGGCCAGCCGCCACTCACCAGCGAGCACCTCTACCAGGACCTGGCTGAGGACGTCAGCCTTGCTCCCTTGGAGGCTCTGGCACTGGTAGAGGCCAGCGTCCTGGGCTTGTAGGTTCCGCAGGGTGATGGTGAGTGTGCCTCCCAGGGTGTCATCCGTAATGACCGTGCTCCCGTTGCGCCGCTTCAGGAAGGACAGCAGCCAGGAGCGGTGGGTGCTGACCACCCGCTGGCAAGGGCCCTCCTCGCCCAGCTGGCGGCACCACGCCTTGCGCTTCGCCCAGTACTTCGAGGCGTCGTAGGGGCAGAAGACCTTCAGGGGCCAGCCCGCCACGCCCTGGACCACAGTGACATTGACGGGTGCCGACAAGCCTGGGAAGGAGACATTCACCCACTCCTTCACTCCTTCACCCCTGCCATTGAGCCCACTCGGAGCACCGCAACCCTGAAGCACCAAGGAGAACTGCTCCTGGGGGTTTCCAAGGCCGTAAATCTTTATGAACAACAGATGGCCTCATATTTCTCCCAACGAGCAGCTGGTGGGTTCGAACCGCTGACCTTTTGGTGACCAGCTCAACGTATAAGACACTGTGCCACTAGACTCCTTCCTTTACGGATTTACCAGATGTCCTTTAAACACTTACTGTGTGCACTGAGCACATCAGACAAAACCCCTGCCCTTCAGGGGCCCGAACGTTCTTATTGAAGTTGGGAGAATGGAGCACAGGGTCAGGGTTGTGGGGCACCAGGAAGCCCGGGCCCCGGATCTGGTGCTCCTGTTGGCATGTGGGGCATTCAAGGAGAGCTAACTGACCCTCTCTGGACCTCTTTCCAGAAACATTTGGTCTTAAAGTCCCCTCTAGTTCTATTGTGCACATCTCTCCTATCACATGAGGCCAAGACCCCTGCCTGTCTTCCTTGGGGCCCTGCCAGGCCTGGGCCGGCTCCTGGGTGGCCGGGCTGGGCACACTCGCTGTCCTGACCATGCTGTTTCCTCAGTGCTGCCCACACTGCTGCCGGACTCACCATCTTTGCTTTCCTGCCATTTAGCTTCCCTATTTCTGGGGCTTTGTTCCCCTTTCAGGAGGGACCCTGTCTCAGAGTTATTTTGGAGGAGACATGAGGCTGCTATTTTGGGGGGCCCTGCTTAGGGTATGGGAGACGGACTGAAAGCCCCAGCCTACCCCCAGTGAAAGGACTCAACTAGAATTCTTGCCTCAGTTTCTCCTCCCTTGGTCCTCCTTCTTCCTGCCCATCTCCAATCAGATGGTGATAGACTCTTGAGAGGTGGTTCCTGGGATCTGGCGTCCTGCCACGTGGAACTGATGGACAGTGGCCGTCTGCACCTGCTCCTCATCCACCCTGCTGCCTCGGGCCAGTGCCAGCCAGCAACCCATCTCCCCCTCAGGCTAAGACCCCATTGACAGTCTCCCTTATCATTCTGACGAGCAGAAGAGATCTTTTCCCAAAGGGAAGAGATAGCTTGTTCCAAGAACTTGGGGTACCAATCTTCCATAGCGGTGATAGACCCAGACTGCCTCAGTTCCTTTGTGCCCTCTCCCCTCCCTTTGTCATCCCTGGGCCCACCCCAGGCTTACGCACTTAGGCAATTTTGCGGGCTCTAACCAGAGCCCCTGTCCCCCCACCCTCCTACACACACACACACACACACACACACACAAGCTTCCCCCAACTGCACCTAGTACTTCAGGTGCCTCCCTCGGGAGGCCTTCCCTGCTCAGGGGCCAGATGCATGAAGAATCTGATAGCAGGTTTGATTCTGGGGGAGGAGTATGCCTGAGGAATAGGGGTCCAGGGGGAAGACAGGTCCTGGGGGGCTGAGGGAGGAGGAGAAGGATGGGCATCCTACCTGTGGCAGCGAGCAGGAGGATCAGCTGCAGGGGATCCATGTGGCCTGTCATGGGGTGCCTTGTACAAGATGCCCTCTTCCCTTGGACTGCTGAAAGGAGAGGGCCAGGCGGGTCAGGCGCTGACCACGGGAACTGGGCTCCTGGGGATTGAGCAACAGCCAGGACTGGGGTCTAGCTTCGTGCTTCAGAGGCGGGGTGAAGGGGATGCGGGGAGGGCAGGGAGAGCAGCAGCCAGGCAGCGCAGGGCAGGCCACGCCTCAGGCCATGACTTCAGGATTAAAGGAAGTCTCATTAGCAAGATGGATGGACGCAGTGTGTCTATGAGTCAGAGCTGGCTTGATGGCATCTCCCCCCACCCACCACCACCTTAAGACCCTGCCATAAGCAAAGGACACAGCATTGCTTGTTGAAAGCGAGGAGGACCGGAAGCCCTTCCTGATGGAGCTCTGATGCTACCGGCTTCCATGTTGATTATCACTCAGTCAAATGAAAACAAAACCCCTCACCACTAGATCAAGAGACAGCATCGTGATAAACAAACAAGCAGAATCAACGGTCGTCGAGGATTTCCCTTTGCTCGGAGCCACCACCCATGCTCCAGGAAGCAGAAGCCAAGAGATCAGGGCATTGTCCGGGACTCATCTGCTGCACGGGACCTCGGTGAAGTGTCGACGAGTCAGGATGGCACCTGGAGGACCAAGGAGCGCCTTCTCGAGCCATGGTCTTCTCAGTCGCCTCACGCGCAGCAGACAGACATTGGACAACGAACAAGGAAGACGGAAGAAGAACGGGTGCTCTTGAATCACAGTGTGGGTGAAGAATACTGCTGACCCCCATGAGCTACTAGAAGAAGGAACCTGAGGTAGTTAGTTTGTTGTGCTCACCTGGCCGATAAACACAGGTGGGGTTAATGGAAGGGCGGAGAGATAAATGGCTCGCCTTTCTAATTCTCGGGTCTCTTGTTTTCTGATGGTTGGACCAGGGTGCCACTGCCTTATCCAGTTTCTTGCTTCAGCTGGCAAGTCTCACTTCCTGCAAGACATCCCCAAGAAGAAGCCACATGGACCTACTCCCATGCAGCCCTGGGTGCTGGAGCAGCCAGGGGGAGACACCTACCAGCGCTGAGATGTTTACACATTCACTGACTCAGCTTTCCTCCTGCAGTCGGCATCATCGCGTCTGTTTTGTGAGATGGAGGAGGGCTTTGTGGATTGGTGTTGGACATCTGGGCTAATGTTGGACTTGTGGGCTTGGGCAGCACTGGGTTGGGATGGTTTCTTGATGTGCACTTACTCTTTCTATAAAACTCTCTTATACACGAGTCTTTGTGGATTTGTTTCTCTAATTACCCAGACTAACAAAGAACCCATCTGACTTGGAACAGAAGGCTCTTACGAAGTACGGAATGCAAGACTCTGTCTTGCTTCCTTGGGGCACATCGATGGTGGGAGGAGGACACTGTTCTTGGTAAAGTGCAGGGTTCGCAAAAAAAGAAAGCAAGAAAGAGGAAGACCTTCAGTGAGATGAGTTGGCAGCTGCAACCCTGGGCTCAGGCAGAGCAGTGACGGTGAGAACCGCGTCGGCCTGGGCAGGGTTGGCTCCTTGGTCCCTGGAGCCAACTGGACAGCAGGCACCCATCAGCCTAAGGACAACTCTGTGTTGGACACCCCGTTCAAAGGCACTTTACCCATTCTCCCAGGAAGCCTAAACACTCAACTTGCCCCCATTTTATAGACCTGAGAAGGAGTCCCAAGTTCCTACCTGCAGGAAGCGAGCGAGGAAGGGCACCAGCTGGCATGGAGGTCCTCATGGAATCTTGAACGATACCATCAAGGTCCGCCAGCCTCAAGCTCAAGTAATGTGTGCACCAACAGCGTGGCAAAGCAGATCTGGAAGGAGTCTCTAGCTTTAGGGATAGGATCCATAGGTTGGCTTGGCCCACAGCAGTGTGGCACACAGGTTGAGGCAGAGAACTAGCTAAGCAGCAGCATGCTGGTCGAATCACCAGGGAGCAAGAGGGAGATGGGATGCCTACTGTCTTTATTTCGGTTGTCCTCCAATCAATCTGTGGCCCGCTTTAACTCTACCCACATGTTCCTATTGGCCCAGTTGGCATAATACCCCTATCACAGCTACTTTAACAAACTACCCTAAAGCAGGAGGCTTTAAAGGACAGAAATATGTTGTCTGACAGTCCCAGAGGCTAGAAATTCAAATGAGGGTGCTGGTGGGGTGAATTCTTCTTCAGGCTCTGAGAAAGAAGCGTCCTCATCTCTCTCCTAGCTTTTGGTAGCTGCTGGAAACCTTTGATGTTCCTTGACTGACTTGTAGATGCATCTCTACATGGTCTGTCTGAGTTTGTTCTCCCTTTTTCTAAAACACCACACAGATGGGATTAAGATTCACCCTGCTCCAGCATGGGAACTTCACTGAGAACATCTTTAGAGAAAGACCTAGGGGCCAAATAAAGCCACATTCACAGGTACACGGGCCAGTACTGCAACATATCTTTTTTTTTTTTGGTAGTGGTAGGGGTGTACAATTCAAAATTCAATCCACTTCCCTTCCTTGCATTAATTTTGTAGCAAATCCCCACAATCATTTCACCAATAACTATTCCATTTAAGAGACTCCTTTAAATGGAAAAGAAGCTCTGAGAATGGTCAATGTCTACACTCCTTATCCCTGGTCACTCCTCTATAAAGAATCCTTTCATTAAATTATCAGCAGCTAATCTCTGTTTTAAGTCCAGAGAGGGACTTGACCTATCACCACCTCCCTCTTTCTCGCTCAGAAGTTCTTTCTCTCTTAGATGACGGACTGGGAGAATCTGAAGTATCCCTTCTCCAAAGGGCATTTATTTATGCTACACATATTTTCCAAGTACCTAATCCATATCAGGCACCACACTAGATGCTGGGGGAGGTGCGATCAACATGAGATGACTCCATCTGTTGGATGTGGGAGGGATATGAACATTGTAAATATATAGTGATCAGCAAATAGACGTGAAGGAGCATAGGCAAAGTAGAGACCCAAAGCCCACCTGTAAGACAATTGCACAGTCCCTCACAGAAAGGACGGCATATCCAGGGTGCAGAAGAACACTGATGATACATAACTATCATCTAGTTCTTTATAATTTCCTCCTACTACTATTGTGGCCTTAGTTTCACCTCACTAACCTTGCTAGACCCGCATATGGACATTAGTACAATAAAGGTCTTTCAATGCACGAAATCCACAATAAATAATTCCCTCAGAAATAGTAATGGGAGTAATGATTCCCTGAGGGCACGGGAAGAGGTGGGGTGGGGAACTGATAACAATGATGACTGTATAACCCCATTCAAGGGGAACAAACATCAGAATTTTAGGTTAATGGATACATTGGAAGGTGTAAGTTATGACCAAAAAAACACCCTAAAATAATAATAATGGATTCAGGGGGGTGGGAGGGTGGGGGATGGAAGGGATAAAGGGCATCTGACATCAAGGAGTTCAAGAAGAAAGTAAGTGTATTGAAAATAATGATGGCAGCAATTGTACAACTATGCTTGATCTAATGGACCTATTATATGTAAGTGCTCCTGATAAAACGTTAAAACAAATATACAGAGAGATTGGATTCTAGGTCAATTCCCCGAGTTAAGGGTGTGTGGTAGTTATATAATCTGCTGCCAACTTGAGACTATTAAGATTGAAGGGGTGGAGTTTAGCCTGTCAATCAGGTCACAGCTTGATGACCTCATTTGGAGACCCTAAGGAGATAAATAGCTCGTTGGAGGCGGGACACAGGCTCCAGCCTTGGAGACTTTCTACTGACAAGGCTCAGTCCCTGGGAGACATGGAGCTACACAAGTACCCTGAGCTGGAGGAGCCACATGGAGACCCACACCAGCACTGAGACTCTTACAATGCCACTGGATCCAGAAGACTTCCTACCTATTGGCCTGTGATCTTCCTGCATTCAGGATCATTGCATGTGTTTCATGAGTCTGAAGAGGACTTTATAGATGGTATTGGACATAAGGGCTACTATCGGACTTATGGACTTGATGTGGACCAGGCTGGGCCATTTTCTCAGTATTCAATTGCACTTATATATAAAGCTCTTTCGTATACACAGATGAGTATCTATGAATTTTGTTTCTCTAGTCTACCCGGGCTAACACAGGGAGTGAGGAAAGCCCCTCAAATGAGTCGACAGAAGGAATTTGGGAAATAGATGGAAAGGACCATCTCAATCAGGAAAATCACTGTTTTCAGCTGGGTTCTCCAAGAACTAGTCTAGGTGCATATCCAGAGAGATCGTGTCAGGGAGATGACACACATCTTCAGAGAAGCCATCACGTTCCGAGTCCCTGTGTCAGGTATCAGGCTGGATGCTTCTCTTGATTCACCTGGCTGCAGGGGCTGGAAAACTCAAGACTGGTAGGTCATACAGCAGGCTCCTGGTTGCGGAGGCAAATGAATTCAACGGTGGTGAGTAAGAGGGCAGGCTGCAGACAACACTCAGGATCAGTAGACCATACAGCAGGCTGCTGGCTCAAGTCCAAAGAGCAGAGATCGGACGAAGGGCCAGGAAGAAGCAACTCCGCAGCATTCACTTGGTGGAGGCAGCCACACTCCCCAGAAGCTCTCTTTCTGGGAGATTACTTGGTCTTACCTACAAGAACATTGGGATCCTGGCCCAGCCAAGCGGACACAAAACCTTAATCACAGACACGTTAGGATGAATTTTGGGTGGAAATAGGAACCCAGGCTTTGATCATGAGGATCGGTCACCTGGAAGGTCGATCCTGCTATTACTGGAAGCATAACACTTTAGGAGTAAAAGGATGATTAGAGAATACTGCCTTTCTGAAGAAAAAGAAAGCAGTTCTTCCAGGAGGGGCCCGTTCTCACGACTAGCATCCAGCCCACCCCACAGATGGTGGGTGCTGCTTCCCCTTAATGCTATCACACGGGCCAGCTCACAAATCCTTCCTCAGCGCCCACTGCCCACTGGGCCGCTCTGAGATAGAAGGAGGAAGTAAATGTTGAGACTGATGTTCATCTGGAGCCTGGCGGAAGCTACCAGTTACTACCCTCCAGCAGCTGGTGGAAAAGTTGGAGTTTGAAGACCCCGCAG